AAGCTCTAAGGTTTCATTTAATTTTTAAATTAATTACTCATTTTTATCATAGAAAACTTTTTTACTGATAACAAAATAAAAATATTTCTTATTAACCAAAAATTTGTTCTAGTGGGTGGTTCAGTCAAGTACTGATGTACAGTACCACTGTATTTTATTAATGCAATTTTAATATATGTGGTAGCATCAAGGAATTAATTAACTGCATTAATCAAGGGATACTTGTATGTATGCATGCATGTATGTACTATACGTAAGTAATACATAGTACAAAAATCCAGTGGCATGCCATGACATTTGATGATAGGGAAGCTGTGTTTCTGTAAGAAGCCGACATCCAGGGGCAGTCAGTCACTTGCATGTCAGTGATGGTCTAGGGCAGACATGGCCAACATACGGCCCGCAGGCCAGATCCAGCCCGTCTAATAAATTTGTGTGGCCCGTGATCAACCTTTCAATATTAGCTACTCAAGTCCAAATAGCTGGAAATCTCGTAAGTACAGCATAGAGTGTTGATAAAGCATGATAATGTGAAACATGTATCTATAATCTCTATCTACAATTCAGTCTCTACGGGGTGACACCATAATGAGATCGTGCACCACCTCAAAATCTTCCTAGGACAACCTCTAGTTCGGCCCGTGGAAAGTTTTCTTTCCAATCCAGCCCGGGGGCAAAAACTGTTGGCCGCCCCTGGTCTAGGGTCCATTCGTATCATTTATTCAATAAGCCAGTAAAAACCATAGATTTCTCTAAATGCATTTTTAATATCACAATTACATTCTGAATCGCTAGCCACAATATAAGGGCTAAAATTAAAAATAAAATTATAAAAACTTATCGCTCATTCCCACCTATCACGTAAGTTCGGGGTATTACTTTATTGTAAAAAGATGTATTATTGAACATTACTGCATCATAAATCATGTAAATACAATTAATTTAAATACTGGCATATGCATAGATGCATGCTGGGATACTGTGATTGAGTATAAAAGTACTGAGGATGTATATTGTATTCACTGATGAGGCCAACGGGCGAAATGCATTTGGAAAATATAGTAAGAAATAAATATTAAAATTAAATTTTGATCCATCTCTGTGTTAAATTTCTCGAAGTCGAATAGAAAAGAGTAATTTTTAACTAGTTTATTTCTGGAAATATACTTTTTTAGAATTATTATTTTAACTTATTAATTACACATTTAAATGGAAGCAATAGTTCAGTGTAGGCTGTGGTACATTAAAAACAAATCGCACGCTTGTATATTCATATTACAGAGCATGCATTTATGCTTTGTAACACCATATACTGTACACATTATGTTCTAGCATGTGAAGCGCACACATAAGTCAATTAACAACTTAATGCACTGTTGATAGCCTTCTGCATCAACCAATCTCTAATGGCACAAAAACAAGGTTGTAACCTGAATAAGATACAGATTTAAAATCAAGGATAGTAATTTATCCTCTGGTGAAAATTTGTCTGAGCAAAACAGCCAGCTAATGGGAATTGGCTATTGTGAACCCATAATAGTCTAGGTCTGTGGACAAATCAACCACCCTTTCTAATCTACATGTGGAAGACCAGGCCTTGTCCAATGCCTGTTCTAAGCTCTTGTCCTGTCTTAGGCTGTGTTTATGCAAATTCAAGACAGAAAAACAGGCTAAAGAGAACTTCTAGAATGGAGAATTCAAACTTTCAATGTTGTTTATGCAAAAGAGGGTAACAGAGTTCTCATACACAACACACAAAAAATGCTCATCCTCAAAAATCAACAGTTTGAACTTTCATATTTTTCTGAGTCTATACACATGCAGTAGATCAGAAGCCTCGACATTAATTTTATTATATACAACAATGTGGCTCTCAACAAAACCATTGAAAAAATAAAATTGTTCAGCAGTTTAACTGGTATGAGAATCAATGAAAATAAAAGTAAATTGTTTAATATTTATAGCAACATTACATGTGATGTCATGAACATCAGTACTGTCAACAGTATCAAAATTTTGAGTGTATGCTATGGTAAAGATAGCAATCAAAACAATCTTAAGAACATATCTCATAAAATTAAAAATGTGATTTTCAACTGGGAAACTATTTGGCTTTACCCAGCTGATCATGTCGCTATTGCAAATAGAATTTTAGTTGCCAGAATAATTTTTACTTAGATCAGTGATATAAAGGTTAAACAAGATATCAAACATCTCGATAAAATCATTTTTAAATATATTTAACAGAGTGATTTTGAGCCACTTAAAAATTATAATGAGAAATAATCTGAATCAGGGAGGATAGAGAATGTGGGACCTTAAGAGTCTGGAATACTCTCTCCAACTGGCTAATATGGTTAATGCTATAAAAAATCAGAACCATCCTCTTGCTCTCATCGCCCATTATATATTAAGTCCTATTGTTAAACATATTACTAAGAATCATGATAATTTGCCCTTCCTTCTTGACAACTCCAGTAAATACAAAAAATGGAGAGATATTGTTACTACCATAATTAATAATGACCAAATTGGTAATAAATTAAGGTCCAGTACTGTCTACATGAACATTCATAAGCAAAGTATCAACAAAAGTCTCATGGATACTACAATTAATTGGAATGAGACCTGGGTTAATGTTGGGAGGCATTGCAAACATTTGTGGAGTTTGTATTGTGTTCATTCTTTGACCAGTGCTGCCGTTTCTAGAGTAATGTTTCAGGTAGTATATTTAGGGCAAATCTAGGGTAAAACTACTGTGTTCTGATGCTATTACTCATTGCTCCACAAGTTTCACTGGAAAAAGTTTTAGTCTAAAATCATTCTGTTTTTCCCTATAACTGGAGGGTTTTAGGATAGGACAACAGAAGCTAAAGAAATAATGCAGATTGATGCTAGGTACATGGTTGTACACTGTACAGTGAGACGTCATTTTTCGTCAATAATCTGTCCAAAAACAATCAGCGAAATCCGAAAGCGACGATAAACGAAGACAACAAATACCAAGGTATTACTGTATATTACACCCAAGTAGGATTTCGCTTTTCTCAACCTTCATGCCATTGAGCCATTGGCACTCTCCATATCAGATGTAAATACATACCTCTGATAAAGCCTAAAAATCCTAAGACTTTTTAGTTATTAAAATTTTCAAAAACAATGAATTAAGAATTGTTCTGATTATTATTTCACAATGATAGTACAGGGATCTGTATCATAGAATCATTTGTCTTTTTTTTTTTTTTAATTCAAGCTTGAGCTAGAGCTCTGAGAGTTTTCTCAATTTAGGATAATTTTCTGCATTTAAAATTGGTTCAATTGTTTTAGTTAGTGCACCTAATGTTGATAGGGATGTGCAGCTCCCAGAAATATTTTAGCTGTTGTTATGAGCATTAATACATCAGGTCTCTATCAGTTAGGAAACAAGGAAAGTCTTCTTGATCGACTTTATACTCTTAATGAATTTACAATTTCTACAGTAACTTTATTAACATTCAGAACGTACCCTCATCTTTATTAACACTTTGCTCAGCATCCATGTTAACATTTGGAAGTAAGCAAGGGTTTATAATCTGTCACTGTAAAAGATACTGTATTGATAAAAATGCAAATGTTGCTCAAAGAACATAAAATGCATGAATAATTAAATGTTGTTGTAAAGTAACCAAGTTAAATTTCTGTATATAGTGAATAATTTTGTTACCTGCATATATAAGATGATTGCAGATAAATAAATCATAATGAATAAGAAAGTTTTATTTTCTTATCATCACCTCATTATTAGTTAACATCCAGAATGTGTGGTGGCTTTTAACCATAATAAATCTGTCGCACAGTGATTTTTAACTTTAGCAGCTGATTTTTATTTTATCGTGTACAGTATATCAAGCACCTACAAGTATATGTAATTAGACCTTTAGCACTTTTTAGCAAAACCAGGACTGTGAAGTCAGAGTTGTGAAGTTTGTGTTTTAGCCGGAGTCGGAGTCGTCAAAAAATCTGCTGACTCTGACTCTTTTTTTACTTCCCAACTTGTTATGTATATAAAATGGAAAAGTATTGGAATCGTGTCAAATTTGATCCTCCAAGTTTTTTTTCAAATCTACACATTTGGAGACCTCCTGAACCCCTCAAAAAAGTCAATAAAAGGGAAAAATTCATGCACACGTGTGTTGGCGTCTAATTTGTTTAATTTCTTTATTTTCTGTTCTGAGATATTGTTTAATATCTCAGAATGGGTAAAGTTTAAGAAACAAAATAGTAGTGGATAAGCTGGGAAAATACAAAAACACAGAGATAATTTACAAACGAACATTCAGCATGTATAGATTATTAAGGAACGACAAGGACAAAATAAGAATGGAAGAGCAAGCAGGGGGTACACTATCCCATATGAAAACCAACAAATAGGGAGTTTATAAAGAATATGTAGGGGTGACCAGAAGAAACCTTGCAGTGTAAAAGAGCACAAATACAGTGTTAATAGGACTCAATAGCAGGATATTGGCAAGCATGCACAGGCAGACGGAGCAATAGTCAAATGGGATGAAGCAAAGATCATAAGAACAGTGCACTCACCATCCATTGCGATGGAAATGGAAAAAATAGATACTCACAAAAGTAAAATGAGGAACCGATGTCTAAATGAAAAGGATGTAAATACATTACCAACAGCATGGAAGTACAAAATAGAAAAATGTATGGGTTTCAATAATCCATAAAATAAGAACTGGAGATTATAAGAAGTTATTATATTTTAGACGCATGTAGATTTGTTATTTAATTTTTGTTAGTAACTTAAGTGACATATTTTATTTATTTTATTTTGTTTATTTATGTAATACACAAAAAGTTGTTAACACATTTCAAAAATTCAAATCAAAATAAAAATTTGAACGAATGGTTCCATTTTGGAACGATAAAGGAAAACCTGAGGATGACCTAACCAAATAGGCTGAAAACGTTTGAATAAAGAGAAAAAAACTCAGCAAGTAGAATTCAGGTNATAAAGATAGAGATATATTTATATATAGACTCTCTTATCAGCTTATTTCAGACTGTGCTTAGACTATTGAAAAGAATTCAAAACAAAAATAGTCTTATTTTTTAAAGAAACAAATAAAAGGAAAACTTAGAAAATATTTAAAATTTAAACATTTAGGAACTAAAAATAGAATGATGAATTGTTCACAATATCTTCTCTTGAAGTTCAATACTCGACTTTTGTACTTTGATCTTTTATTAATGATAAAGTAACTGATATAATAAGATAACTTTAAAATAGTAGTAATTATTATTTCATTCAATATATATAGAGAAGTGAAATTGTAAAGATTACATACACTAATTATTTTAAACTTGATTTCCATAAAGTCCTGCTCTCTTTAACAAATCATAAACTACTGCAGTGTATTCTTCAGGATATTTAGGCATATGACCTACATGTAAAGATTTCTCAAAATATTTAGTACGAACATCAATTCCCCTACGTATCCAGCTTTGAACAACACTTTCTTGTGCTTTTATAGATCCTACAGGATCAGCTTCAGAAGCTACAAACAGTGCAGGACAAGTTAAAAAATTATCATGAAAAGCTTCAGATGATTTAATATAATGTTTAGTAGCAATTTGATAAAACAATCTCATATATAATTTGAGAGACTGTTCCATGGTAGCAATGGCAACAGGATTTTTGAATACAGCTTTAGATAATCCTTCTGGAATGCCATAATAATCAACAGCACTGTCACATATTATTCCAGAAAACTTTTTCATGATTGGAACATACTTTTCTCCACCATTTTTCATTTTTTCCATACATTCTCCAAACAAGTAAGCTCCAACAGAAAAAGCATGGACAATCACTTTATCATATTCTGGATGGGATTCAAGATAGTCAAGCACTTTTTGTGCTACTACCTGGGATCCTGTAGTTGGAAATATTAGCTCTTGGGGCAAAATGTTGACAGTAAGTACATCAAATCCCTGTTTAAGATATAAATTACTATAGTTGTCAATATGGCGACCTTTAGCTAACATCCAAGCAAACAGAATGGCTAATCGATTTGTCTTTGTTTTGTTTTCGTCAGTTGGAGGCTTACTTGTTTTAAGAGCCAAACTTCTGTCCAATATCTGTGTATGTAATGGAACAAATGGAACTGTTCTCTGTAAAGAAAAATATTTAAAAAATTAATAAAAACTTATAAATAGAATAATAAGCTATTCTGTATTCATTATATTGCTCTTAAAATGCATAAAACAGATTAACAAAAACTTTTAAACTGTAAATTCAAAAGTTTTTTCATAATATAGTGGAACCTCACTTCATAAGCACCTCTCATATTGAGCAATTCACATAACGAGCAAAACAAATATCGTAAAAAAATGAATCGCTTAACGAGTGACAAGAACAGGGGAAGTCCTGGATTGTGTGCATGTTACACCAGTCTGTGTTTAGCATCTTAGGGTCGCTTGTGATTGCACATTTTTCCAAACTTGTGTTCAGACATATTACATAAACAACAACCATAGTGCATTATATAATAAAAACACCAAATGATTTTCCAAATTGTTGGGCTATGTAAAGGCTATAATTAAGTATTAGAAATCAAATAATTTGACTAGAGGTAGGCAGTTATGCTGCCATCTTGTATTAAATTTAATGACAAATTCCAAATTAAATTTTGATTTATTTTTGTTTTTTGCTTTCCAGGTTGGTTCATTCCAGGCTAGAAGAAATGATGATGATTCACACTCCTTAATAATGTATATTATATAATTTTCTTTGAATAAACATTATACATAAAATATTTGAGTATTTTTTTCAGCATGGAACACATCATCATATTTTACATTAATTTATATGGGAAAAATTGTTTCGTTTAATGAGTGTTTTGCATTAAGAGTAAGATTCTGGAACAAATTATGCTCATTAATTAATTAAGCGAGGTTCCACTGTATCAAACTTTCCTACACTAAAATTTTGAAAAAAATCAATGGAAATGTATAATGATAATTAATGGTGAAGTAGTTTTGCAGAATAATTATTATTAATACACTAATATTAAAAAATATTTTGAAAAATTAAAGCATTAATTTATGCTTAAGCTAAATTTTATAGACGTTTCTAAAATAAAATCAAATACAAACTAGTCTCATTGATAAAAGAACTATTGATTTTGTTGTTTAAATAAACAGTTAACAGAATTAGGTGCATTGGTTTTTGATATTTGCTAAAATCTATAATTACAAAATTCTTCTGTCAACTGAACTGGACATTGTATGAAACATATATCATAGCCTCAAATCAGTCCAGCAACAGAATTTAAAAGTTCTACAAATGTCTACTCCTAAGACCTTCAAGTATAAGTTATTCTAAAATAAAATATTTGAAGAATAACCAAAGAAGAATTCAAAAGTTATAAAGTTAACAACACATAGCAAGCACACATGTTTGATTGGAAGAGCATTTAATAGCATAGAATCCTACATTATTTGCCAGGCCTGGAACACCTTCTCATATTTGTTGTTGATACAGTTACTCTTTCTGGCACCATTAAAAGTCTCCAGGAGTTCAAAGTCTCTAATCTCTTCAGAATATAGAACCACTAGTAGCCTGGGGCGCCCCCTAGTGGGCGTTCTTTACAATTTTCCATGAGGCACTGTTCCTTTGACTTTTTTGTTCCTATCAATATGCTGAACAGCTCTGTTGTAGTCGCAATGGTAAAATTAGGTGAAGAGGTGGCGACCCCCCAAACTGTAGCCCCCTGTGCAAACAATAAAGGCAAAGGAACCATACCCGTACTCGCGACCCTTCGTGAGATATAAGCCCCTGAAATAATAAATTCCTATTACAAATATACTGAATTATTTATATTGTTATAATGACCAAATAATAATTTATTGGCCAAATGAATAATAATAATTCATATTGTTAATTTAAGTAAGAATTAAAATTGTTAATTTGAATGTTTGAAATATGACACGATAGGGGCGCCTCTAGTGTCCGTTATCAAACGGTTACGGGACGCCCGTTGAATGGGTTATATATATAGATTCTTAACAAAGTTGCTTGATGTCAGTGATGCCAGATTGGGCTACAAGTAGCGGATTGGGCTACTTTTTAAGTGCCCTCGCTACAAAAATTTCAAATTGGGCGACACGCTACTTTTTGGGCTAGTGATAATTATCTTCAGGCTACAAATCTTAAAAATACGCTACTTTTTTTATTTTCATATATAAAATCGCAAACGCTTATTGTATTATACAAAAGTAATAAAGTTTTATTTAATTTCATTACACTTAAGTATATAAATAAAGTTGCAACGTTTAACAAAGATTAAGATACTTTGCTT